AACGGTAGTGAAATTATTGGAAAACAGGATTCTGAGGCAGCGTTTTCCTGCTTTCTGTATGGCTGCACCAAGGCAAAAAGCAGTTTCTTGTGCAGCTTGCGTGTTAGGCAATAACCATCTAATGCCACATTTTGCAGTCAGAAAAAAATGCAGTTGGTGTCTTACCAAAGTTGGTCATACAGGAATGAGTTCATTTGTTTGCAGAAAACTTATCTTCAGGGAAATAAAATCCAAATTCCCTTAAAATTGTGTTGTGGAGACTTAGAATTCACTCCCAGAACAACGCTAGCATGATTTTCAGAAAAAAAATAAATAAACCAAACCCAACCCAACACTGGGTTAGAGGACAAAGTTCTGAACTTACCTCATGATAGAGAGGGGTATACATAATCCCTGTAACAGCGTATTCAAAGGTTGTGCCTGTATAGCCTTCATTTATTTATTAAAAAATTAAACCCACGTCATGTAGGAGAGTTGCAGTGTGAGAGGAGTGATGACCGTAGCTGTGACAGTTTCAGCGAGACATCTGTAGGAGCAAGGCTGTTGGCGTTGCCTTTCTGCCCGAGGTTGGTGTCCTACACTACAGCTGGCAGAAGCAAAATGTGCGAGCACTACTCAGCTGTCACAGACTGAAGCCTGTAGCCCAGACTGATGAATCACAGGCACGGACGTACGGTATGAAATACCTGAGGGGTCGTACTGCTTTCAAATACTGTGGTTGTCAGCAGAAGAAATGCACACTGGGCATGCAAAGCCTTCAGATAAGAGGTGCTGCCACACAAACTCCTCTTTGGCGTATGCTCCTAATATGAACAAAGTAAGATACACTGCCATCTCCTCTGCAAGTCAATGCTTTTCCACATCTTTTACCTTCCTATGCTAACTCCCACAACTCCATAGAGAAGATAGGTAGAAAATGTACCTATTTAAACAGTAGTGTCTATTTCTTGTTTTGCTCTACCATACATACTTTTATACCTACTTCAGGACAATTTAAGAGCTTGGTCAACTTGCAGCTCTTCTGCTCCTCTGAAAATTATGGGTTAGCCCATGACCTAATGAGCTTTCTACTTTTTTCCCTTGCACTTTGATTTTCTCCTTAAGTTTTCTTAAGATGGAGGCCTGACCTGCTGGATGTTTTGGAGCTACCACTCATATTTATGTTTACTCTGAGTCAAACACACATCACAACATTTCAGTACATTTGATTTGCACTCTATGCACTCATCTAATGATTGATTACAACCTTCAGATGAGTAATTGTTTTGAAATTCAAACAAGTGACTACTATGTGTTACTTTGATTTCTCCTACACTGTTCCTGTAACTTCATTTGTTTAGGTACTCTTTACTGACTGGACCTAGGCACAAAACTGTCAGAAAGCAATCTTCAAATGATCATTGATCAGCAGAAGGATATAGAAAAATATCTAATTACATTGATATTTGAGAAATTTTGGTCATCTAAGTCACAACTATGATCTTTTCTCTTTGTGAAGTAGAGTGCTGAACTTTTCTGAGTTATGTTCTGCAAATACACTTGTGAGATACTGTTTTAACTGTCTCTTAATTATGATATAGCTATCTAGGATATAGAGAGAAAGTTAAGAGTCAGATAATGAAGAATGCAATGACCACAGCACTACACAAAATGCAGTGGATACAATGACCGGTTGGCCAGCCACAGACTAACGGGATACTGAAACAACTATTCAAGCATTTAAAGTTTGCACTTACCAACCTCCACAACACTAGAGCAATTGGGGTCTGTGAAGCCTTCAGGACACTCGCATGAGTAGAAGTCATCATTCAGCCCAGACAGACAGATGCCACCATTTTTGCATGGGTTGGAGTCACACACGTCCCCTGTGGGTTAAAGTGGAAAGATTCCTGTATAAAACTTTCCAAAAGTTATGCACAAGCTCTAAGTATGGCAGATTGCTGATAACCAAGAAGAGAAAGGAATTACAACCTTCATGTCCTTTGAATACCTTCTGGCTAATTCCATTTTATATTCATTTAACATCACACCTCTGTGTAATCATCTTCCCCTAGCCTTCTATTCCATAGCTGAACCGTGGTCTCAGTTCCAGCTATTGCTTTATCACCCAGTTTGTAAGCAAAGAACCATGGTTGTACATACATCATAATGTGCTCCACACTTGCACACTCTTAAATCACCCAATAGTACATATTTGATCCAGATCAGGCATTGGCACACTGCTATATTTCTGCTAAACACAGAGCATGGCATTCAAGCCAGCAGTGTGCTTCTATGTTGGCTTTATATCAGTCACACGAAGACCAACGATACCTGATTCCAGGATAAAGTTTGACAGTACAGATTAAAGGCATTGAAGTGTTTTGAGCAATTTAATTCTAATGGCAAGTTTGCACCCGTCAATGGTTTTTGATGTGGAGCCCTATGACCGGAGCTGCCTTATGGTCACACTGTGCCCTCAAGCAGGCTTTCACTATGACTTGTGACTGACCAAGTTGTGGGAGGGATGGACGCTAAAGGACTTGAGTGCCCACAGTCCCTTCAGTGCTCCTCGACAGTCCCCTCCACGTCCAAAAGAAGTTTGTCACCTTCTCCCATAATTCATTTTGATTGCAGAATCAGAACAAATCAGTTAGAAACAAAGCTACACTTTTCTTCAAAAGTATGCCACGCTATGAACCACCTATGCTTCAAAACTCCTTGGGACACAGGGCAAGCACTGGCATGGTGGGTAGCTTCAGCCTGCCTAAATAATGCTAAACAAGCAGATTTTACTTGTCCTTCAATTGCTCTTCAGTGTGGACATCCTGTTCAGTCAATTAGTGTCAAGGTTATCAACAGCAGAATGACATAAACTCTGAGAGATGCACAACAGGGTCACTTCGTATACTCAGAACTTGAAGGTCTCCAGTACTACCAGTGTGTACAGCACATTATTGTGATTTTCTATCTCATGGTATTTGAAACAACCTTCAGGAGGAGATATAAAAGAGAGAACAGAGTGTCTGTTCAATTCTTATGATTCCTCAGTTTTAACATCCTTAAAGAACCCCACCATATTCTACAAATGTACAGAAATACAGGATTGCATCCTGTCCCCAGTGGGATAACTGGAAGCAATCCTAAAGAATGCCCTAGGCTTTGGTAAGCTTCAATTTAATATTTTTTCTTAGCTAATCCGTGCAGTAGAGTTTTGTTTTGCAATTATTTTTTTTTGCAAATGCAACTTAAAGCCACATCTGCAGATAGCTAATTATTAAAAAACGTGTGTTATTTTGTATGCTGTTTTAAATTGAAAAGTTGCCAGTCTTTTGCCATGCAATTGCAAAGAGTTATAGAAATCCACTTGCTAACATCAGTAGTACTGACATTCTAATATGTTTTGGATTATAGTGGTGGTGAGGGAAATCAAAATGTTTTCAATGCCTTTCTGGCACATAGACTTCAGATTAGTGCCTGGTGTAAGAATTCCCATCTAACAACCACTGAAGAAATGTAATTGATGTAGAAAAATGCCTGTATGAATTCTATGTTTCAATTGCAAAAAACTCTAGTTGTGGGTTAGTTTGCTGAATTATTTTTAGTTTTATTTAATTTTAATCTGTCAGCTTTAAGATGCCTTCATGACACAGAGAATTATCATATCTGTGCACCTGGTATTAACAGTTTTGTCTTGAAGATTGTCCAGGTGATGGAGAAGTAGACCTATTTGAAAAGAGCCAATGACATAAGACATTATCTTTCTAGTGACTAGGCACTATCTGTCTTCCTAGTTGAATCCAAATAAGTCAAGACCTCTCATTTTCAGTGCTTGTTGCATTATTGGGGTAGCAAAGGATGCTTTTTTTTTTTTTTTTTACTTCATGGGGCTTAGACATTTGGTTGTGAAAGAACAACTATTAATAACTGAATGCTCTGACAACTGTATTCCCATACCTTTAATTAAATTACTAAATTTAGTAGCATCTGGAGCAGGAACACTTAATATGCAAATTCATATGGATATTCTGATTAAAATGAGAGGGGACATTTTTACTATGTGTTTTCTGATTCAGTGTTCTGATTTCAATTACGCAATACAAGAGAAAAAAAAAAAGGTAAAAAGACAATATACTGTTTCCATTTGTAAGTTTTATATTGACGACAAGCAGAATGCATACCCAATTTTCCATTGTATTTCCAGAAACTGAAATCTACTATGACCAAAGTGTGCATACTTAACCATGTAGTTTTTATTTGTCGGAAAACTCCTGTTGGCTTTTTCAGTCTGAAGTAACCTGACCTACAGTTTGGGACTAATAAAGCAGATGCTGTCCTCTAAAAACACTCATTTATTTCCATGTTCAGGAAATGACTGTACTAAATGCTCTTCTGACCCACCACCTTGGTCCATATTCTACAGCCGATCACTGGTGTAAATTTTTAATTGTTGTTACATCACATCGCAGAAATAAAATAAGTACAGCTCACCTCTAAAAAAAATGGGACAAAACCAACCAAACAAAAAAGGACAAAAAGCTCCAATTAAAAAAAAAAAAATCCCTAGGCTGTATCATTCACATAATGCCACAGAGCGCTAAAGAGGGAAAATCTATACTTTGAACAACAATGGTTAAAATGATACTATAACATGACGTCAAACACAATGAAGTCAGAGAAATGGGCAAATGCACAGATATAAGTGAGCAATAATTCTGCTTAAGACTAGATACAAGGCTGTACAAATTTGCATACTCCAATTAGTAAAAATCACTTAAAATGTTAGCAACCTTATTTATGACTTGGTGCCTGTGAAATTGTGCAGAACAAAAGAAATATCACCTTTGAATCAAGAATATCTCTCTCAATTTACATCTCTCAATTTACATTTTGTGCCCCTTGAGAGGCCATTCATGTTGAAATATTGAATCTAATTTCTTATACATTCTACTCAGTTTGATGAACAGAATTTGATTTTAAAGGCTCTGTTCTTAATCAAAAAAAAAAAACATATGGGTGCACTTTGTCTTAACATAACTGATTAAGGGATTTGTTACCATTAAAATACTATGTTGCATATGACACAACTTTTAACACAACAGTATTTTTAGAATATAACCTTAGAGTCATGGTGACTGGAAGAGTAAAATAAACTCAAAGGAAGAATTATATCCTTTACAGTACCTTACGGAACTGCACTGTGTGCTGCTGACTTTCCGTAGTGATAGGTAATATGCAGTTTGTGCAACGGACTGTAATTTGACAAATCTCTGTATATTAAACAAACACCCTAAGAGGAACTCCATTATTTAAAAAAACACCAAAAGACAATTGATATTGGACTTTTATTAAAATGTTCTGAAAGGGGTCCAGTAAGAATGCAAGTGTCAAATAAAACCAATAATTTATGTTTTAGTTTACTATGTCTGACTAACCACACACTTTTCATTACACGGGTACTCAAGCTTTGAAGTATGTCTCAAGACTCTGTATACAAAATATGTGCTACAACTATTTCTGCCGTTACTTCATCCTTGGGAAAATCTCAGACGGGAAAATCTCAGACAGTAAAATCCTATTGAATCAAAGTATTGAGATTTGCTGCAAGGATCTGTGAAACAGAATCAGCAAAGGATACGCTCACATGCTCCTCCTCCAAAATTGCCATGACCACTTTTGATTTATGTCTTTTAGGGGACCCTTGCTTTTAAGTGATGCTATATATATGCAGCTTATTTTATATATGAAATATATATACATATATGCATATATATTTCCTCCTTTTTGTGCAACATCATGCATAGAAGAGTTAAGGTAGAAATGTAATCCAAATTACCTCACACCATACTGTATTGAGGAGTAGACAAAACATTTACATGATTAAAGAATACTAAAAGTGGGGGATTTTTAATTTTTATTTTTCCTTACATCTTCATTTTCTGCAGAACATTCTTAAGTCAAATAAATTCTTGAGTAAATGGTTCATCCTCTCTTTGGAAAACATGGTTGGTTAAGAATAAAAAAAAGCAAGACAAAAATAATAAAATTAACATGGAGATTCATACATACTCAAAAATAGAATTTTAATTAAGAACCCTCCCTACTTCTCCAAACTCAGAAAAAAATATATATCAAAGCTCAAATGAATGGTGAGAGATTTGCTTTTTAGTAACAATTAGGTTTTTTTAAAGATTATGACAGCCTTTGTCCCTAGTGAATATATCAATCAGTGAACCTAGGCATCTTCTATTAAAAGCACTTGGGGAGGAACTGTTCTGTAAGTCCAGCTTACTCCCCGACATAGCTTCACATAACCACTCAAGCCATACCCTTTTCAACAAAATACTGAATGTACAACTATTGCTTCTTTCCACAAGCAGGTAATGGTGGGAAGGAGGGTAAAAATTGTAAATCCTGTTGTTGAACTTTACACTTTTACATAGCATACTTTTTGATCCTATAAAGCCGCACAAAGTGTTACATAATTCTTGACTGAAAAATCCCATACTTTGCTTAACAGCAAAGGACAACCCAAAAAAAGGAACTCAACTGCTGTGTATAAATAATGCAGCATACCACAATGGTAACAGCCCATCAATCCTTGTCAAGAACAGAAATTCACGGAGCTTGTGGTAACAATTTTTGTGATAAGAAGGCTAAAGAAGATGCAGGGTGCAAACAGAAAAGTACCATCCACAACCATCTGCATGCACTACTTTGTAAAGTACATAAAGCATAAAGTCTGTGTTGTAAAATCCCATAGACCAGTCAGCTACCACTACTATATGAAAACCAAATTGCAGTTTACCAATGGTTGTCAATGAAAAAAAAAAAAAAAGAAAAAGAATTATTTACTCCAAATTAAAACTATTTACTCTTTAACATCGTAGTTCCTGGGATCGGCATGCCTGCGAAAAGCTAAGGCACAGTGTCTTGAATTAGGCATGGGAGAAGTATTTGAGTCCCTATGCACAAACTCATTAGCCTGAAATGAATACAATTTCCCTCAACTGTCTTCTAACACCTGGAACGATAACTGTTATGATTTTTGGCAGAACTGTTACTGTAAGAAACAGCTGCTTGAGACAATGAAATGATGACAAAGAAAGAAACGTCTTCAAAAAATCCCATGGATTCACAAGATTGCAAAAGTAGATGGAAAGAAGTGAAGGAACAAAGATGATTTGGGTGTTTGGGCACATTTTCTTCTATTATTTAAGAGTAGAGCATATTCTGTGACATGGAAAGTGTGTGTAGAAAAATTCAACCCTATTTATTGTTTTATATGAAGTGCATTAAATATAAATATGAACATATTTAGTATGCATTACATATTGATGCAGTGAAATTTACAGAAGCTGATACTGAGGTAAACACACTGAAACCATAGACTTCCAAGGAGATGCTGATACCCATCGAAACAATAGGCATGACATGATCTACAGGTAAACATTTGCAAATGTAGTGACATACAAGCTCAGGGTACCAGCCATGCATGTTGTTAGACACTCTTTCCTGGTGTTTTGTTTTTCAAGCATTTGGTTTTGCCATTGATGGGAAGAAGTTAATCATTGTTCCTACCTGAAAAAACAGCAGCTCTATTTTTATTCAATTTCCTATATAGCTACATGAAATATAGCTTATTTTTAAAGCTCTGTCTAAAGAAATAAAATGAATAGCTATTCCCTTTCATGAGAATAAAACTTGTTATAAAGAAGAAATCTCCAGGTGGCACCAAAGAATAAACAGCCCAGAAAATAGCTAGTCAATAGAAATTTGGTCTAGCAATAGTAAAAATGTGCCTCAGTTCTTAAGCTCAGAAGAGCAACTAAACTTCAGAAGAAGACTGAGAAAGTTCTTGCTACCAATAGCAGTTTCACGTTAAAATCAATTTTCAGAAAAAGAGCTTTAATAGTTTTCTGATTTACAGAATCATCTGTACAGTGTCCAAGTTCAAATCTATTTCTCCACAGCTGAACCACTACTGAGAAGCAGAGCCATAAATCATATTGAAGACACACCTGTGCAGAGATGCAAAATGCGAACACGAAAACAGATGAGCTATGCAGTTCTTTTAAGAAATTTGTAAGCTGGATTTTTTTTCAAATTTAATGGTGAGGCAGTAAATTTGTTTTTCCTAAGGTAAAAAGTTGAATAATTAACTTGCATCTCTTATTATTTGAAAGGGAAGTTAAAGTTTCTAGATACCAATTGCTCATCTACCTCCTCCTGCTTGATTTCTAGGCTGATTTGCTTACTGTGCAGGCAAAAGGTTCAGCTAAATTTCTAACTAGAATATTCATGGCAGACTGTTTAAATGGTCTTAGAAAATGAATAAACTGATATCAGCTCTAAGCATCTGCATACGAATTGGATGGGAAGACTTAGAGGAGAATTTAAATCTCAGAACAATAAACTCGTGATTTTATCACAGGTCTCATGAAAACTGAGGTGGTTGCTGCTTCTTCTGAAAGCCTCTGGGATCAAAAGACGATGCACTTAAGCAAGCTGTAGTTTGTAGTTCTGGAGGAGAACTGCAACATACTCCTCTAAAGTAGGCGTAAATATTTCTTTAAATTTAACTTTGTCTGGTCTTGTAATCTGAGGGGATGCACCAGCTGATTCTTGAAAACCTATGACGGTATTACGAAAAGAAAATCAGATTATTCTAAGTAAAGAATTCTCATTCAAATACCACTCTGGGACTGGACTGAAACATTAATCCTGGGTGAAGACGAAGTGCTGATTTAAGCTTTGGATTTAATAGTACAGTACTGTAAAATTGTGTCTCTACTTTCAGGGTTAGTATGGACCCCTAAAGTAATGTCTGTAGAGATTAATTTCTATCATAATAAATCCCCTTCTTCCTTTAAAAAAACTATAATCTCTTCCCTTTGTAAAGGTCTACAGTATGAGCTACTTTATTCATTTGAATGTGAAAGAGCAGTAGGTCACTGTACTTCAGCCTTTTGTGTTACAGACTTTTTAAGCATCTGATGTTTGACAATATGAAATAGAAGTAGAAACAGAAAACAGCTTAAAAAGTAAACTTTTCTCTCTTTCATAGGTTGCAGAGAGTTCATTTCTATGCCAAATGGCTCTGCAGGGAAAAAGATGAACTATTCCTGTCATTTCAAGTCTTTATTTGTAAAAAATGGATCAAAAGTGATTAAAGGAGGAATATGGTTATATAATGCACTTCTGAATATTTTTACAACTTGTGGAAAATTTTTCATGCACACACTGTCGCAAGGATTTAGGGAAAGCTGTCATCAGTTCAGACATTGTTTCATCAAAGGAAAAGAGATGTATTCCCCCAAACTGATCAGCTGATGGTACCAGTGGCACACCGTCCCTGGCACTCAACCTCAGCTAAGAACAATGATGCTTCCTAAACAAGCAGGGAGGTAGCTGATAAATGACTTTAATGAAGATGCCCTAATCACTATCAACACAACCTTCCACAACATCTTTTCTCTCTGTGTGCTCAAAAAAGCTGGCAAAAATACCTAGGCACTCCTTGCACGTACGCATTTGATTTCAGCTGTCATTCACGTCAGCTGCGTTTATACAATTATTTGGCACTCTCTGACACTTAGGTGAAACAACTTGTATTTCTGCATCTGTTCATATCTACAGGGTGAGAGAGGTTTATAAAAAGGGAAAGAATAAGAGCTTAAATTGAGACTTTCTGTATAAGGCACTTAGGCTAAACTGTCTCTCCATTAAGTTGTTTTGTTCAATTAAAACTTTCAGAGAGATATCACATCATGATGGGAATACATTATCATTTCCAGTCACTTGTCCTTTGTTTCTAAAGCTGATCAGGAAATTTTTAGTAGCATGTTCACTTGAAATCTCTCAGTAAATAAAATATTCACATTTCTTGCTAGAAATTGTTGTGTCTTGCAGATCTCCTGATACAGCTTCACAGGTTTCTGTCAAAAATCAGCCGGGCTCCTGCAGGCTTCTCTACTAGCTGCTAGTAGGCTCCACTTCCGTATCTATGACTATTGGGGGGTTAATATCATAGAATCACAGAATGGTTTAAGTCGAAAGAGACCTTAAAGATCACCTAGTTCCAACCCCCCTGCCATAGGCAGGCATGCCTCTCACCAGACCGAGTTGCTCCAAGCCCCATCCAGCCTGGCCTTGAACACCTCCAGGGATGGGGCAGCCACATCTCTGGGCAACCTGTTCCAGTGCCTCACCACCCTCAGAGTAAAGAATTTCTTCCCAACATGTTTTTTAAATCTTCCCTCTTTCAGTTTAAAACTGTTACCCCTCATCCTATCACTACACTCCCTGATGAAGAGTCCATCCCCAGCTCTCCTGTAGTCCCCCTTTAGGTACCGAAAGACTGCCCTAAGCTCTCCCTGGAGCCTGCTCTTCTCCAGGCTGAACAATCCCAACTCTCTCAACCTGTCTTCATAGGAGACAGAGATCTACATTTCTTATTTGACTTAACCTATGTTGAGCTTTTTATCATTAGCTCTTCCTAAATCTTTCTTCAAAATATTCACAGTTTCCAAGGCTATGGAAATGTCTCAACCTCTTGATCAAGGAACAACTCAGACACACAGCAGCTTCTCTTCTCTTGCCCATCCCCTGCTTTCCATGGAGAAAATCCATGCACGCTGTCAAATCAGCAGTGCAGTCCAAAGGATACCCTTTAAAATAAACAGTCATAAGTGTTTATTACCTTCTCGAGACAGGTAACATCTTCTTTCCTTCTGTTCATTATGGACTGAGAGCATCCAGGTACACATATTCTTACTGGTCTTGACACTTATCTTTCCAGTTTTTGCTTTCACTTCATTGGGGAAACAAGATAGTTTAAAAAAAACCCAAACCACTTATTGTGGAATTACCACTTTTAAATAAATTTTCCCCATTTTCATCCACACTTTACATCTCTGTATTACCTTTCCATTTCTGTTTTATGCTCCACCACTTTTGAGGTTTGCAATTTGGAAGCACCAGAGAATGTGTCTATGTGTATACATACACACACGTATATTTAGTTCCATATTTATATACTTACACATACTTGATATATATGTGGAAAGGAAACTGTTTTGTTTTCCCTTTGTTTGCCCTATATTCAGATACCAGTTGCTAGGCAATTATTAATCTCAGCACTGGTGAATTTACCTTTTCCCATTGTAAGTAAATCCAAATTTGAAAGCTGAGCAATTAAAAAGTCATCATAAACAGCTTTTGAAACTCTAATTACATTTCATTACATTCCCCTATCTTCACCAAAATTAAATACCTTAAAACAATACAAATTCTAAAAATATTCTCATTACACTTTGAAAAGTTTTCATTGATCTTTAGTTATTTCTGGGTTTGGATATCTACTCTTAAATACCTTATTTGGTCACATTTTTTACAAGAGGTGTCAACCCTATTGAAGAAATGGGCTGCATTTAATATCCCAAATTAGGTATCTAAAATACAGAACGTACAAAATTTATAATTCACTTTTCAAAATTTTGAATAGTCATCTAAGTACTAAGCGCATCACATAAAAACATATAATTGAAGCATTTTTTTCCACTTCCAAGCAATATTCCAAACTGCAAAACATATTTGAAAATACGCCATGTGAAGCAGTTAGCCTTGGCTATGTCTAAATCAGAAAATAGTCTGGTGCAACATTAGTAGATCAATATTTCAAAGCACGTAGTGTTCAGCCTTCTATATCTACATTATATGAAGCCTGCAGATTTTGTCTGAGATTTAGTCACTTCCCTCTACATAATCTGAAGGTGCCCAAATGACCAGCTATTGGTTCAGACCCTTAAGTCACCATTAGGGTCTCCACCTGAGTGCAGCTTCTAGTTCCACGTCCTCGGGAACGAAACCAGCTCACGTCCATCAAAACCCCTCTGCAGGCAGAA